GCCCAAGAGGAACAGCTCTATTCTCCACCCTACAGATACATAGGGCATAGTATTTGTGCAAATGAGGTAGAATGGGTGTATTTGAAGGTAAAAGGATATTTGAGGTGACTGTTGTTGGTTCTATGTAAATAAACCTTTGTTAAAGTGAATCCGTGAGGGCGATTTGCTCATTTTTATTTCCATAACCTGGCTCTGAGGCAATCTTTACCATCACTTTAGATGTTTTGCTTTTGTTATTAGTTACTCACATATATAAATAAACTCACAGCTGAATACAAAACAAGCAAGCAACAAAAACTCTGGAAGTGCACCTGGAAGTCCAACACTGATAATTAGGAGAAAAAATGTTGGGTATAAAGCAGCCATAAAGCAGCTTCCTGACCTGGACTGAGGGGTACAGCTATGAAAGCGATAGTAAAAATCTTTGAGCTGATGATTAATCACACGCTGTTTTACAAGCCCTGTTTGTTTCACCAGCCACCAAACATTACTTTTATTACATTGTTTGTACAATTTTACAGCTTTTAGTGTTTCACTTTTTGCTTTTGGTATGAGCAAGTACTTTGTCGTTCATGTTTTAAAAAAAGATTTTAGAATTTTTATATACTTCACGGTAGGAAATACTCACCTTGCTTGCTTTCACCTGTTGGTTTGCTGTCTGTGGCAACACTTCCTAAGAAAGTCAGAGAAGGAGGAGCAGTGAAGTCCCGACTTCATTGCTATTACATTAAAAAAAACTGATACACTTTGTACTAACGTGGTGACTGACGTAAAGAAACGCTTATAGTAAATGTGTGACAGCATTTATAATAGAGCATACCAAACAGTTTAAAATACATTGAGCTCAGGGTAGATCGAAACTTAGTAGCGTTGCACGTATTGTTCGGCTTTCAAATTAACAGGTCACCTGTCTGTTTCTAATATTTTTTTAAAATGCAAATTTATTACCTCCGCAGTCGTCTTTTTGCTTGTCGGACATGTTCACGGTTCGTCTTTTTTCGGACTAACGCCGTGAGAAGAAAACATCACCGTCGTAGAGCCCACCCTAAAAAGAGTTTAGGGTGTGGTTCCGCCCACCGTAATCTCATTGGCTCAGATTTTCACCTATTGGCTCTCGCATCTGTCATTCAAAGATTTAAAGACTAGTGTTTCCGTGTTTGCAACATTGCAACAAGTTCAGGCAACTACCAAATCACGAACAACGACAAGAGCATGAGAAGAAAGTAAAAGATTAAGTGGGCTAAAAGCCTAATCCAGATTTATGTTACGAGCCTCATCTCATACATGACTAAAAACATAAAGCCTACACTTCATTGTTCTTGAGACATTTAGAGGTCCACATATTTATAAACGAATGACAGCTAACAAATTAAAAAGATGCTTCTGCAAGTCACAGCTTTACCATCGCATTCAGTTACATTCTGTGGAAGGGCAGGGGGGATGTGCTAACACTGCCAACTCATCATATGTTCCGTTTTTCTCATGGTATAAGGAAGTGGATACTGACCGCCTTATTTTACTGTGTTTTGTAATAATGTCCTGTTTGGCAGTTTTAGGAGATATGGGGAAATTATATTGGAAATATGTTAAATGAAGCTCTGTTTCCCTCTGTTGGAAACGGTATGCATAACAACACATAATCACTTCCACGTCAATACACAAACACACATTATAATTTCCGATATTATCTTTAGACTACAGCAAAGTTCTATATCTTTATTCGTACAGTAATCATATGAAGATTGCATCATTTACTGTGATGTAAGTTTCAGTAACACCTTTAATATTACTAATTACAATTAATTAAAACATTAATTGAAAAAAATATAAACTCAGCTCGAACACTGGGGAAACAAGGACAACAACAATGGGCAAATTACTACACTATGACAAGTACAGGCATTACTAATGGCATGAAATGAATCTTTCCCCAAGTCTGTTTGAATTGGTTGCATTTTGAATGAATTTGTTTTCAAACTGTTTCTGGACAAATAAAGGATGCGCACACACTTTCTGTCACAAAAACAATGGAGATTTTTATTTAAAACAAAATTAACGATGGCAAAGCCATAACTAAAATCTCATTGGTTCACAAAGTATGACCAAAGTCTGAGTGCAATTTGGTGTATTTTCTTTTTTCTTCACAGGGATCATGACTACAAGTGTTTTTGACTAGAGTAGAAAAAACACAGCCTCTTACTTTTCACGCTAGTGTGATCACTAAGGTGCAAATACACATTAGTACATGTACCATAAACTGCTGACAGGTCATTAATTCCATTCCTCAAGTAGTAAGCTTGAGGAAACACTCTGATTGTGAAGTGCTTGGACAAGTTGTAAGTGTTACTGGCACCCTGAGGCTTAGAGTGAGAAAAGTAAGAATGAAACTGATGAGTACAAAAACCAATTTTCTGATTGCTAAGCTATCACGTCATGTGCCTCTCATGATAAGTTGGGAAACAACTGGCTGTTGACACTAAGCAAACCAGACTCCCTGACTTTCCGATGAAAACCTTTCTGTGCAAGGCTGCTGACTATGTGTTTTGAACCTGATATAAAATAAGGCCACGTGAATGCATTTCTGTGTAGTAAGGCATCATTCTGTAAGAGTAATTTTAGTAATTTTACAAAGTAGCCAGCAAAGACTGTGGTCCATAATCATTCTGTACTCTGCTTTAATGTAACTCAAGTACGTATAGACAAAAACAACAGCTTTACAGTATTTAAAAAATGACAGAAGTTTTAATGTTGCCTATTTTGACAAACGTGTTTCCTTCATACAAAACAAACAGCTTGATTAAGAAAGTTAAAGGAACAGTTCACCCCCAAATCACATGAATGTCATTTTCCTCTTGTGGCATTTATCTCCATTGTTTTGATGCTAGTTGATCAGTTTCTCAGGCACCATCTGTAGAAATGTGTGCCTCCTCTTTGACATAATGGAACTAAATGCCAGTTTGTGATGCCTAAATATTAATATGAAGAATTACATTTAAAAACTACTTTAATTCTATGGAATTAACTCAAACAACCAAGAGAAAGATGCAGTTAGTTTCACTACAGCTCAGCTGGCTGGGACACCTTTAACTTGAACATCCCACCATCCTGCCACATGTTGATACATTCTTGCTTCTACAAACAGTTAAAGAGTAAACAGTTCCAAAATTAAACCGTTTCAGTATTTAGAACATCATTTCTGGAAAAAAACATTGCTGCTGGATTTACATTTCATTTAGTTCTGTTAAATTCAAGTAGCGAAACATTTCAACAGCTGATATCACCAAACTGTGTAACTAACAGCAAAGCAATCAAGTGGGGTAAAAAGCAGCCCAAATCTGAATTACATACAACTGTATAAAATCAGTACTTTAAGTGGCTGCTTAGTTACTCAGGAGATAGCTATAGTTGTAACCATTAAGTAAAATAGCATAGATGTACCTCTATAATACATAGATAGTACATCTAGAGGATGTTCCCATGATTTTATAAGAACTCTGTCACTAGAAATATTGAGGATCCTAATTAGCATTCTAAAAGATCTTTTGTTTTCTGTGGTGAGATGTTGGTTTTAGTTAAAAAAATATAAATCAGCTGATTTAAAGACTGAGGTGAGACATTGTTACTTTTTTGGTCGGAAGTAAAGTTTCTTAGTGAGCATTGAAGCAAAACAAGGCATTTGCTTTTTCCCAACAAGCTGTGGGTCACAGGATTTTGGAACGTTTCTCATCGACACTTTTCTGTTGACTAGTGTGAGTAATTCTGTGAATTCAAGGGAGTTGCCATATTTTCGGAGCATCTCACACAGAGCCTGAATGTACCAGGAGCCTTTCTTAGTCTCCCGGAAGGAGTAGTAACCTATCAAATGACAAAAACAGCAAAACATGGCAGGTGGTCTAGTGTGGTTATGAAATATCAAATACTTTACACAGGATTCATAAAGGGTCACTCATATGGTTAAAAAAAATCTGTCCAGCAATTTTTTCACTTCTCCTCTAAGCTGAAGGTTCAGTCTAATCCCAGAAGACTCACCTTCAGCTACAGAAGAGCATATTATAAAATCAGCCCCGGCAGGGAGGGTGCGTATGGCACTGGCATCTGCAAACACCTCCACTATGCCATCCACCGCATCAGCAGGGGTCACTGTAACACCTTCATCAAACAGTTTTCCACGACATGCCTGGAGATTAAAGATGGACATTGGCATTAACTGGGTGCTGGACTTGATAATAAACATAAGACAGACTGACAACCTCACTTCCTCCGTTACATCCTCACCCATTGCCCTCAACACGGGCTCCCCTCGGGGATGTGTTTTGAGCCTCCTGCTGTACTCTCTACTCCCTTACAACTGCTCAGCCACATTCCCAAGCACCCACGTTTTCAAGTTTGTGGTGGAACTAATTTCCAGCAACTATGAGACAAAGTACAGGTTGCAGGAAGAACATCTGGAGGATTAGTGCCTCTCCATTAATGTTAAGAAAATGAAAGTGGCATTAATGAACTTTTAAAAGAAGCTGCTGAGAGCTCTCTTGCCCCTTATGGTGATCTCCAGCTTCAAGTTCCTGGGTATAAACATCAACAACGGCCTCACCTGAACACCAACTTCAGCAGGCTAATAAAGAAGCCCCACTTGTAACTACTGATGCTCTCCCACAGTGCAGTTCAGTGGAGAGCATCCTCACACCTGTGAGTCGTGGAACCTGCTCTGCTGCTGATGGGAAGATTCTACGAGTGTGTGCAGAAACTCAGCAGCAGCCTTTCTCTTATCAACTGAAGACGTCAACATCAGTTCAGATGTATAAATTCTGCCACACATCAGAGACTTCTCATGTGTGTACCCACACACCACATTACACATTATGGTTTCTACCTTATGTTCATAAATGTTCATATTTGTACTCACATTTCACTTTCTTGCATTCTTACACTCACTGCTCTTTAAATTGTATTTTTTTCATTGTGTTACGGAGTTTTGCTTGTTTTTGCAGTGCTGTTTCACCAGTACCTCATTACTTAGTGATTCTCATGCATCATCATTTTTTGGGATGACAATAACAGCAGGTTTACATAATCTGATGGACTTGACTGGGTTGTGTATTTTGCACCTGTATTATAAAGATCTTTGGCTTTCCAACAAGGTCCCGGCAGTTGTCTCCTTTGAACGTGGACATCATGTCCTGGATACTAATTTTTCCATCGTAGCAATAAACATGGTTATCCTCTCCGTGACTCAAGAAGGCGAGCAAAAAGCAATCAGCATCTGAGTGATCTTCCTCCGCAGCTGGTGGGACAACAAGTACTTGTTAAACTTGCGGCGAATTGTTGGATTTGACACATATATCTTTGCAGCAGAGCAAAGAGTTATGGGAGAAATCAAACTTCATGTAAATCCTGGATGCATTCCATTTGAGAGTTACAAGTGATTGTGTGGGTACCTTTAGCGATTTCATCTTGGACATCCACCTGCTTGTAGTTATCATAACACCTCACTTCAAAGTTTAGATCCTTCAACCTGAACAGAAAGTGAAAATGAGTTGATTAGTTTAACAGATCATCCATCAGTCTATTTAGAATCACCTCTTCACTACAGGACCGACATTGTTCTTTACAGTGGGAATTTGTGAAAATATAGCACGTCAAATATTGGTTTTGGCACTAACTGGAGCACAAAGGTGAACTCAGCACCAAGGGGCTTGAGGAGAGAAAATAACATTTCATTATCAGGAAAAATCTGTGGAAATTCTCACACATTTTTACCACAGAAAGGAGCTACAGCTGCTAAACAAGTGTTGGCATGTTCTTTAGCACAAAGCTGTGTCAAATACAGTGTTTCCCTTTCTTCAGTAGATAGCTGGGAATTGTACCTTTCTTTCAAGTTGTAACGATCAGCACTGGTTCCAACTCTGTCATTCAAGCCCAGGCGCCCGAAGAACTTCTCCTGATTAAAAATGAGAGCAAGACCTCGTCGTTTGTTACACATCTTGTACTCCTCTGCAGGATCCAAGGAGCTGATTTTAGAAAAAAAAAAAGAGTAATGAATGCAGTGTGTCTGAGTGTTTGGTACCAGATTAAAGCGATAATTTCCAGCTAATAGCCAAAAAAGGTGGAAGTAAGAATTTACCTTCTGATGAAGGAGGTGTTCTCTGTTTGTTTCTCTTTGCATACTATTGAAAAACAAATTCATATTCATAAATAACCAGCGCAATAATTACAAAATAATAATAATACAGAGCCAAGTCCTGCGTTACAACTTATCTAAATATTGATGATTATGATTACCAATGATAACCATTGTATTGAAAAGAACATGGGACGGTATGGACATATTTGTGTATCACCAACCACCTACACACAAACACACACACACATTAAAATAATTGAGCTTGTTGTGACAGTTGTCATTACAGTATTAACAAAAAAAAATGGCCAAAAATGCACAGAAATTATTCTACTTCTGTCTCAAATATGGTCATGCAGTTATTGTTCCATCCATTCAGAGTCCTGACAGCTGTTAACAGCTGGGTGACGCATGGTGAAAGATGGCAAAGGCTGCTAAAAGAATAGAGACAGAGAGGGACAGCTTTACTCTACAGATAATATACTGTAGGGTAGACTTAGGGTGGCATGGGTGTGTTTGACAGAAGGAATTTCATTTGGTTCAGTTTTTGTTTCTGTTTCTAAAGTTCGTGCCATGGCTGAGCAGCCGGTGTGTTTAAGGAAACGAACCCAAATGCAGACACCGAAGGAGATGGAACTGAGCTGTAAACAAAAAGCGAGCCTTTTATTGTGGCTGATGACATAAATACACAGAATAAGACAAAAGCCGAATGGGGGCAAAAACTAGACTAAAATCGAAACTGGGCAAACTAAACTGTGATTACTATCATTAAACTATGATAACTACTGACAGGAACATGATCCTGAGCAGGAACATGCAAATAACTATGATGAAAAACCAAGAACATGAACATGACCTGAGCAAACACATGAAAAACGTCTAACCTGATGTGAAGTGAAGGGAAGGAACACAGATGACATTGACCGAATGAAACACAGAGACTAAATACACAACTGGGGAAACAGCTGACACAAATGAACATAACAACATCACAGGGAAAGAGTAAAACTAAACACACTGAACAAAGAAACACAAGAATTAAAAAAAATCAGGAAACACGGAGAGACGTAGACATGACAACACAGGCTTGACAACATGAAACACAGACACGAAATACAAGTCATACTGACACAGAAGACAAGAACAGACTCACACAAGGGGACATAGATGAAAACTTAAACTAGAATAACATTCAACTAAATCCTAAATGATAATACTAACACAAGACTTAACATATTTTCAGTATAAGAAATGAAAAATACAAAATGAACTCAACATAACTTTGCACTTTGTTTCACTTGTGCTTTGGTATGAACAAGTATTCTCTCTTCCATATTTCAAAAGAAGTTTTCAGTTTATATAAATCACAGTCTGAAATACTCACCTGTCTTATTCTCAGGTTTTACTGTGTCTGTAGCAAAACTTAATGGGAAGGTCATAGAGAACCTGGCACCTGTTGTAGTAACATAGTGATTGCCTCAAGGAAATTAAAAAAATATTAAAGGTGTGACAGCACTTAAACAGGTCAGGTGTCTTTTTTTTAAATAAAGACAAAAATTGTAATTTGTTACCTCCACATTCGTCTTCATCCCTGTTAGACATGTCCGCAGGTCACCTTGCCTTCGACTGACGCAGAGAGAAAAACACATTTATCTGGTCAAATCATCCTAAAGAGGCATTTTGTAGCCCTGCCCCCAGCTGTCTTGTTGAATCTGAAGTATTGCCTTCCGTCAAGGATCTGAGTTGTCAGAAATCTCCACCCACGGTCATTCATTCATGTATGCAGATGATGAAAGGTTGCAGTGGTATCACTTTACCACAGATGTCTGTGTTTGGTGATGATTTTGCTACAGAGATGATTGTGAAAGTATAAGTTTATACTGAGCAAACTCAGTTAAGCAGTTTAGTAGCTCAGTGCTTACGATTTCCTACTACTTAAATATTTTTTATTTATTTTCTTCCTATGTTTGATCAACATAGGCTACTGACTGTGAACTACAATAATGGAGAAGTGCTCACAGTTTCAGCTGTTCGAGAGAAGAATGGTGATTGCAGTCCAAAGATTTGTAGATCAACCAGCTGATATACAGAAAGCACAAGATATCGTTGATAACAAATATAGCTGAACTCTAAGACCAGCCTTTGTGTCCTATAAGGAGCTTTCAAGAAATTATTAGGAGTGTAAACCAGACAAGGAGGTGGGAGATGTAGGCTATTTATTTATTTATGATTTTGAGGAGAAGGAAGTAATGTAGATAAGAAAGACTTTTTTGCCACAGTTAAAGATCACCTTTTATCAGTGCATCAGCAACCTTAGACCTGAATAACTAGATCAGGTTGAAAACAACCGTTAAAGTGTAGTGACACAGATTAAATTTAACATGAATCACATAAGAATGATTATGTTGATTTAATAAACTGCTCTCTCAGTGCCTGCGATCATCCTCTACCAGCAAAGCCTAACTGCTGTTCTTCATCATGGGAGAAATCAAACGTCTGCTTATTGATCAGAAAATAAATATGGTTTTAAATATTAGTTTGATCAAGTTTATTTTGTTATGCATGTTCATGTCATGGATTGTAAACATCTCAGAGAGGAGACGTGCTTGCATCCCAACAAGGATCGCCTAGACAATCTGTAACACTGTGGGTGGACCAGTGTAAATATTAATAGCATCAATACCAACACTGGTACTGGTATGAGATTGATACTAGCACAAAGACTGTTACTTTGATTCTCTCCTCTAAGTTCAGTTTATTGCTCCCGTTCATTTGAAAACAGGTCTGTGCAAACACCCCTCCTCTCACGCTTTGCTCCGCCCCCTCCTCCATGCTCTGCTGTGTTTAGTTGACTGGCAGTCGTGTGACAGTACACAACCCATCTATGGAAAGCAGAATATTTACATCACCCAATGATAGGCAAATTTAGTTCTGTTTCACAGCAGCATTCAGGATGGTAGGTTGTTAGTCTCCCCTGAAAAACTAACCTTTGGAAAAGTCAAGAGGACACTTACCTTTTTACTATCGATCATGAATTCTTACTCAGTGTTTAAATCACAATAAAGACATGAAAAGTGTTTTTGTGGATGATTCAAGTTGTATAGATTTGTGACTTTGCTAAAGATTAAATCACAAGTTAGATTGTCCGATTATTATAATCTCAATCTAATGACAGACAGAACGAGCCTGTTGACTTCTTACTCAGTGCAAACACTGGGAAAAGAAGGAAGTAAAACACATAACATACTGGCTACGGGCATTTATCTCATACTGAGTATGACAAGCACGGACTGTTTCCCAGGTCACCTCAGTGGTTTCGACGTGGAAGACACTCATATTTTGAACTGACACTTTGGTGGCATTTTGATTTATTTTGTAGTAATGTCTCCTTCCTGTTTTGCTGTTTGTATTTGATGTGGAGCACCTTGTGATTTTATCTTGCAAGGTGCTGTGAAAAGTAATAAAACTTACTTCTTTGCTGTAAATCAGTTTTGCTTTCATTTAACCTGCTTCTAAACCATTTCAGGACAAATAAGAGAATCCACACACACACACACACACATGCGCGCGCGCACACACACCCGCACGCACACACACACACTTAATGCAAGAAAACTAATAAAGTAAGAAATTTTATTGAGGGCAAAGCAGTAAGTAAAATCCATAAAATCATTAAAGTAATGCAAAAAAATACACTGTCAATGTGTAAATGCAAATACACATTACAGAACAGAAATTCCCTTTTTTTAAGTAGTAAGCATCTCCAAATGATGCTGTCCCTCCTCGACTTTTAAAAGAGGTGTTACCTACAGTTTGGTTCTTGAGCTGGTAAACCATAGTCTGATGTCAGGTGTTGTCCCTAAAGATTTTAAACATGCAGTAGTCAAACCCCTGATTAAAAAACCTGCTCTTGATCCTACGGTTATTGCAAATTACAGGCCTATCTCCAAACTACCTTTTCTTTCCAAAATTCTTGAAAAGGTAGTTTACAGCCAAATAATGGCC